TAGCTTCATTTTAATTTGTCGGGAATATGATTTTTTTATTCTCATAATACTATTGTAGTTGGTTTCGGACGCAAGCAAGAAGATGGCGGCGCAGAAGTAGGCAGCGGCTGCGGCCAAAAGAGGAGGGAAAGGGGCGGCAGCTTTGGCATCATCTAAGGCGGCAACGGCAGCTGAAAACGGAAGCAAGAGTGATAATTTGGAGAACGGAATTGAGACACTTCAGATATCTGATCGGACGTGTACAGGAGTTTTGTGTTCGCATCCGTTGTCCAGAGATATCCGGGTGAACTTTCCGATTCCTTCTTTAGGGCTCGATGTATTAGACTGTAATTAGTTTCTGGTTGATATTATAAGAGGAATTCTCATATTTTTTATGATCAAATTTTTCAAGGGATTAGTTGCGATTTTGATATATGAAAAATGATCTGGCTCAAATTAATAGAAGAAATGGGAAATGAAGGAAATCCTTGTGTGATTTGCATGTATGTTATTCTGTTGTGCTGTTTCCCCCGAGGAAAGGGTGTAGCTTTTGCTTTCTGTAGATGATTAAAGAAATGGGATTTTCAGAAGTTAAACTGCAGCAAATATGGATTGAAGTGTAAATATTAGAGGGACCAAATTCTAGTCCTTACTTTCTTTCTTCATTCACGGTGTTAATTGGACACATGAAATGTGCTACGGTGCATTGTTTATGATAAATTTGTTGTCAAGGTCTGTTATTGCTTTTGCAGATTCCTTTTAGTATTGAATACTTTCAGCATGTGGATGAGATTAATGTAGATTGCATGTGCCACTTGTAACATTTATGTTGTTTACTGTGATTCGTGAATTTTTTTAAAGCTAATTGTAACGGTCATGTTGTAATTTATGTCACCAAGGGAATATTACACTGCCCTATGTATGGTAATCTTATGTTGCAATGTGATATAGAGAAGATGCAATTGCTCTTTATATGTAGTAATGAATTTTGATAATGTGTTCATTACCATCCGTCTTTTGAAGGTTATTTTCAAGTCTAAACAGAATAATTTTTCTTTTTAAAATGTATATCTATTTTAATAGCTTTTATCGCGGACATATAGCACCTCATAAAATGTTATTTGCTTACAGATTCCCAACTTTGATATTTACATTTATTGTTTCACGATATGCTAGATATAGCTTGGTAAATGGCGAGTAAAGGATTTAATTTATTGAGGTGACCTTATTAGAGCTGGTAAAGGGTATAAAGCTTGTCCAGTGAATGATGATTTTCTCTTTTTTGGTTGAAGTGACTTGCTTTTAGCTTATACTAAACAGTCAATAAGTGATGTGTTTAAAATGTTATTAATTTAGCGTCCATAGTTTATGTTATTGATAAACTGATGCTTTATGCTTTTATGTTTTGCAGATAGAATCTCTCTCACTCACTTTCCATGGCCATGATCTTTTAGTTGATTCTGAACTGGAACTTAATTATGGCAGGTATGCTGCAATTTCTTGAATCTTGACTACACAAGGTGGTTTATACCACTGCTTTATCAGGTAATTATGCACTATATATGACAAATCATCATTTCAGACGTTATGGTTTGCTTGGGCTGAATGGCTGTGGGAAGTCTACTCTTCTTGCTGCGATTGGGTGCCGGGAGCTTCCCATTCCAGAACACATGGATATTTTTCACCTTACCAGGGAGATTGAAGCTTCCGACATGTCTTCACTTGAGGCTGTTATAAACTGTGATGAGGAGAGGTTGCAATTAGAGAAAGAAGCTGAAGCTTTGGCTGGACAGGTATTTGACTGTGACTCACGCTTAAGGGTGTCTTATGAGAGGCGGAATTTCTCTAGTATTTTAATATTTAATATGGTTGTAGGAGGATGGTGGCGGAGAACAACTTGAACGCGTTTATGAACGTTTGGAAGCAATTGATGCATCAACTGCTGAGAAGCGAGCTGCCGAGATCTTATATGGTCTTGGTTTCACCAAGAAAATGCAAGAAAAGAAAACAAAAGATTTTTCTGGTGGCTGGAGGATGAGGATTTCTCTAGCAAGAGCTCTATTCATGAATCCCACCATTTTGTTGCTCGATGAGCCTACAAATCATCTTGGTAAGCTTGCATATAGTTTAAGGTTGATATTTACTGTGGACAAAATACTTGGTTAAAAAATCCGAAATAATCGGATTAGTGGTGACTGGTGAATGTTTACTGTTGCTGGATGACCCTCCAGATCATCCTGGGTAAGCTTAATGCAGTAATGGTTGGCATGGTGATATAGATCTAGGATAGTTGGAGTGAGAGCGAGTTGAGAGCGAGCGTGATAATGTTTGAAAAAATGAAATACCCAAATTGCTTCAGAATCGTAAGAAATGTACTATTCAGATTTCTTTCTCTAGGGTAAATAACTGATATATTCCTGATGCTACAAAAACAAATGGGTGTTGTAGCATAGTGGCTTTTTGTCAAGCACAATTTCTATGGAAGACGGGGGCTTGAATTCAATATCTTGAACACGTTTGCTTTTAATTAAAATATTCTTACATTATCTGGCCACATGCAAGATTGTCTTGGTTCATGCATTGAGAAGCTGGCTAGCAGCTATAAGGAGAGTGAAGAAGTTTATAGGTACCTTAGATATAGATAACTTGATTGTTAGGGTAAAAAACCTGTAGATCATGGTTTCTTTATTTGAATCAAAGCCTTCATGTTGAATTCTTTTTGTAGAACGTTCTTAAGGTCTCAAATATTTCATTGTTGTCAAATGAGCTTTCTCCGTGGGCTACTCTGAACTGTAGATTGTGAGTCTCATAGAATGTCTTTGATTGCTTAGCAATCTTTCTTACATAAAGTAGGTCGCTACTCTGGGACAATTAGTATGTAGTTAATTTACTGTCTAAGTGATAGAAATTGGCCATTATACCTTACTGCAACTGTATTGAATGGTTGAAGTCTGAAATTGGATAAATTCTACTTTGCATGCTGAATTGTCATATTCATCGTATAACTTGTGACAATCAGTTTCTTGAAATTGCAGACTTGGAGGCCTGTGTTTGGTTAGAGGAGACGTTGAAAAAATTTGATCGCATTCTGGTTGTGGTTTCACATTCACAGGATTTTCTGAATGGAGTCTGCACCAATATCATCCATATGCAAAATAAGAAATTGAAACTCTATACTGGTAATTATGACCAATATGTTCAGACCCGTGCTGAACTCGAAGAGAACCAGTTGAAGCAGTACAGGTGGGAGCAGGAACAGATAGCTTCAATGAAGGAATATATTGCACGATTTGGACATGGGTCTGCCAAACTAGCTCGTCAGGCCCAGAGCAAGGAGAAAACTTTGGCAAAGATGGAGCGTGGTGGGCTCACAGAGAAGGTGGTCAAGGACAAGGTTCTGGTTTTCCGGTTTCCAGATGTGGGGAAACTTCCACCACCTGTTCTACAGTTTGTGGAAGTATCATTTGGCTATACTCCTGATAATCTCATCTACAAGAACCTTGATTTTGGTGTAGACCTTGATTCAAGAGTAGCACTTGTTGGACCTAATGGAGCTGGGAAGAGTACACTGTTGAAGCTGATGACAGGGGATGTAGTTCCTCTTGATGGCATGGTCCGCCGGCACAACCATTTGAGGATTGCACAGTTCCATCAACACTTGGCCGAGAAACTTGACATGGAATTGTCAGCTCTAGAGTTCATGATGAAAGAGTACCCTGGAAATGGGGAAGAGAGGATGAGGGCAGCAGTGGGGAAGTTTGGGCTAAGTGGTAAAGCTCAAGTGATGCCCATGAAGAACTTGTCAGATGGACAAAGGAGCCGTGTGATTTTTGCATGGTTAGCTTGGAGGCAGCCCCACATACTGCTTTTGGATGAACCTACTAACCATTTGGATATTGAGACAATCGACTCACTGGCTGAGGCATTGAATGAATGGGATGGTGGCCTTGTTCTAGTGAGCCATGACTTCAGGCTCATAAACCAGGTGGCCCATGAGATTTGGGTATGTGAGAATCAGACTGTCACAAGGTGGGAGGGGGATATCATGGACTTCAAGAAGCATTTGAGGGCAAAGTCTGGTTTGTTTGATTGAACTCCCAACTTGACGAGCTGATTTACATCAGTAATGTTGCTAAAGCTAGTTTCGTGGCTATAGCTTTGATGCAGCACGTCAAGAGATGGATATAGCGTTTTAGAAGTCAAATATGAATGGCTCAGAGCTAAGGTGGAGGAAGTTGGCACTAATTGCTCATTGTTTGGAACTTTGGAGCCAGATCCTTGAAGCCTTGCCGTCCGTTGGAAGCTATGTTGAGCTTTTTATTTATATATTGAATTTCGATTACTCTTATATAGCATATACCTGCTCATAGCTGAGGGCAGAGATCAGTAGGCCGCCTGGGAATCTTTGTTTCCAGTGTGAGCCACACCAACATATGTTTTACATAAATTCTATATGAATTTAATGTCCTTGGATTTATAACGGTGTTGCTAACTTTTCATCCTCGTGCTCTTCGTCTTGAGTTGGTTAATTTCTATATGCATATATTCTTAAATGCTAGTACTTATTATAGGTGCCGAGTAGTTTATGTAAGGCATGTGTAATGTGAAGTTGTACCCATGGAGCCAAAATGAAATTTGTCGAACTGACTTCTATTACACATAAGAAAATATGCCTTGGCAAAGCTCTGCCCGACATGAGGTTGTGCCAATCGCTTGACATAACCAATCAGGAAAGGAAAGAGGAGCTAGAAAACTTTATAGACGATACTCACATTGAAGGGTTCAAATTCTATTTGATATCATACACGCTGAACTCGGACCTACAACTTTTTATGACAAGCATTTTGTGTTGGAATTAAAAGATTTCAGGAGGGCTTCAAAGGATTAACTTTTGGTAGATATTATGATTAGGAGCATTCTTGAAGTGATGTGAGTGATACGCCACTTCTGGTCCACTCTACTCGTAAATTTGTCACAAAGTAATTTAAGTTATTGATTAGTTGAATCAAATAAAATATTTTAGCTTGGTTATTCAACGATTGTCGACAATGCTATTTAAGTTATTGATTAGTTGAACCATTTTTGCGGCTGGAATAAGTACCTATTAAATGGATACATAGAGAAATTCAAAAGGATGTCATATGGCTAAATGAAATATTTACGGTGTATAATAAATTTAGGGGTTATTGGCGCAAAACGTCTCTAC